AGACCTACTCCTGAGTCTCTGATTGGAATACCATTCTCAGGTGATCTCTGAGTGATCATTGTGATCATTCTCAGGTGACCCATTGAGATCATTGTGATCATTGTGATCATTCTCATTGTGATCATTCTCAGGTGACCCAGCTCTCTGGTGGCACTTTTATCATGGAATGGCCATCATTTTGTACACACTGAAATATATGACTTTGCCTTTCCTGCCTTCTGCCAAAACTATTATCCACAGGTAGTCTTATCCACACTATTGTGGTATCTCACATGGCACTGCTTCTGATCAAGGAACTCACTTCAAAACAAATGAAGTTTGGGGCCTCCCCTGGTGGTACAGCGGTTGAACGCTGGGTGGCCAGGCTGCCTGCAGCCTCTGCAGCACCAGTTCAATCCCTGGCCACCGGCAAGGGTCCCACAAAAAAAAAAATGAAGTTTGGCAATGGGTTCAGACTAATGGAAATTATGAGACTTATGTTTTTTACCATCCTAAAGCAGCTGACTTGATGGAATGGTGGAATGATATTTTGAAGATCTACCTGTAGGATCATCTATTGACTTTACATCATAGCATTTAACTTTTGTTAGCTTTATATCATAAGATTTACATTATATGATAGCAAGATGAATGAATATCACCTAAGGACTCTGCATCCTCTTTGGGGGAAAAAGTTGTCCTCGGGTATTTGTATCACAATGGTCAGGAGCATGGCTTCATTGTTGACCTTATTTGGAAATTGAGTAGTGTCTACAGAGATGGGTTTGGATGCCAAGCTGACAAGGGGTAGATTGTAAGAGTAAGCTTTGTGTGTCCAGTGTTTAATCAAACGGTAGTCTAGATGTTGCTGTGAAGCTATGTTTTGTATGGATTAATTTCTACAACCAGTCAATAACAGAATATGTGCCACAAGAATGAAGGAGGGATCCATGAAATCAGATAGACCCTATAAGCAATATGAGATTTTCTGGGGGAGAATAATTTCTGTCTTAAGACTGCAGCATTAACTCCTACCTGAGTTTTCAGACTGCTGGCATTTCCCTCAGATATTCAGTTTGCTAGGCTCTATACTCATTATTTAAGCCAATACCTAAAAATAATATCTGTATCTATTCCTCCCATTGGCTCCTTTTCTTTTTTTAATGATGAGAGCCATTAATTAATTAAATAAATTTTTTAGTGGTTGCAGAAGACATTACTCCCAATTAATATTAAACTGATGTCCAAGTTATTTATGTAAGGTGATCTAAAGTGGAGAGAACAAGTGAGAGGTGGTGCAGGACAGAAATCTGGCCATCACTGGTGGTTTTCTAAAGAGATCCCGAAGTAATAACATTTTCATTATATTGACTTATTAGCTCCACTTGAGATATGGAGAGCAGAGAAGAATCCTCTACAAAAGATAAACGCGCTTCATTCTCATGCTGTATGCAGTTGTCTTTTAATTTATTTAGACATGACCTGGAAGTAGTTATTAACACACACACACACACACACACACACACACACACACACACATCTGTTAAACAAAAATAAAGGCTATCCCCAAAACAACTGCACCCTAGGGGGAAATGATGCAAAGTCATCTCCTCTCACTAAGGTGACAGGGTGCCCTTTGCTCCCCTGGTGCTGCCCCGTGCTCACCAAAACTAAATAGGACCACAAGCACTGTCCTCAGTCATGTGAGCAAATGTAAAAGCACTACAGGACTACAGGTTCTCTAGAACATTAGAGGTGTGCCATCATATAGCGGCGCCTTCTGGGAAAGGCAGACTGCAGGGTTCACTCTGCTGGCTCCACATTCTAAGTGGTTTATTGGCTGTGTGCTATGATTCTCTTTTGAAGTGATTACATCTGTTGAGAGTTTTTTGGTCATGGAAGTCTGGCTTGCATGTCCCCATAAAGTGCCTGAACACCTAACCAGTGAGGGGTCATGGGTGCCTGCCAGCCCGAGAAATCAATACTGGCTTTGGTATAGTCCCCAAGGGATAGGAGAGGCAGCCCTTGCCTTGAATACAACATCTAGTTCAAGGGTCTCATCCAAACCCTGCATGGCACACGCTAATCAAGACTGATTTTATATAGAAAAGCTTGTCGAAGAGCCACAGAATGTGGTAAGCCAAGAAAGAAGGATTGCTAACTTATTCATGCAGCAAGTCCAAAGAGCTGGTGGTTGCTAAAGATGTCAGCCCACGTCCCCAGGGCAGCCATGCACAGAGTGGCACTGAGCCTGGGAAGCATCTCACTGGCTTCCAAACACTGAGTGTGAAAATGGTAAAACACCTCATCAATTTTTTTTTTAATGTAGATTACATGTTGTTGGAGAAGGTCATCAGGAGGAAAACAACCATCAGCTGACCGTGGGATGCTTGGTCCACCCGTTTGTCCCACACTAGGAATGGTTTGAAGAGCGCAAGCATTGACAGCATCAAGTGCTGAAACCTGCACTCTGTTAAGGTCTCTAAAGGAACTTTCATCGAGATTCTGGTGGGTAGGGGCAGGTATCTATTCATCTTTCAGTCACTCAAGACGATTCTCAGAGATCACCTTGATTATTAAAACTGCCTCCTATACCTGGCCTCCCTGGTGCCGCAAGAGGTTAAGACACAACCTATGAAGCTCTCTACAGCCACTGTACCACAAGTTCAATTCCCGGCCAGGGAGATACCCACATGGTGCAGCAGACTCTGCTAACTTGCCTTCTGCTCCCCTCAGCAGTGTGTTTCAGTTGATCTGCCTGTTTTGTTCCCCACTCGGTCTCTGAATCCTCTCACTCCCTGCACCTCTGGCCTGTACCTCAGTTCTTGTGTGCATAAATAAATAAATCTTTTTTTTTAAAAAAGCTGCCACCTACCAATCTAGAGCAAACCTGCACCTTTCTTCAGTTCCACCTCTCTGTATGAGGCTAAGGTGTGAACCAACACATACTGAAACAATAATATTTTAGATATTGGTTTTAATCAAAAATAATTCTAAAACAAATTGCACCTTTTAATTTTTTTCTTTTTTAATTAGTATTTTCTTTTATATAATTCTTACATCATTTTTCATTTTTGCACAATGTATGCATTTTCATTTTTGTTATATTCCCCATACAAGTGCACCCTACCCCTTATTTTGACCTTAGTCTTTCCTCTTTCCCTTCCCTCCCCCCTCCCGTAGTGTGTCTCTGGTTTATTGTTGCTTGCTGATTTTGATTTTTACTTTGTATTAATTAGTCTTTTTCCTGGTCCCTTATTTAGATTTTCTAAATTCCTGCTATGAGTGAGACCATCTGGAATTTTTCCTTTTCTTTCTGACTTATTTCGCTGAGCATGATCCCTTCTAGCTCCGTCCATGTTGCTGCAAACTGCATGTGTTTATCTTTTTTGATTGCTGAGTAATATTCCATGGTGTATATGTACCACATCTTCTAGATCCAGTCATCTATTTTTAGGCATTTGGGTTGTTTCCAAAGCTTAGCTATTGTAAATAGCGCTGCTATCAACATAGGGATGCAGGTGCCCTTTGGAATTAATGTTTCTGTGTCCTTTGGGTAAATATCTAGGAGTGGAATTGCTGGATCATATGGAAGCTCTATGTTTAGTAGGTCAAGAAATCTCCACACAGCTCTCCATAGAGGTTGGACCAGTTTGCACTCCCACCAGCAATGCGGGAGAGTTCCTTTTTCTCCACAACCTTGCCAACATTTGTTGTTGCTAGTTTTTTTAATAAGTGCCATTCTCACTGGTGTAAGATGGTATCTCATTGTAGTTTTGATTTGCATTTCCCTGATTACAAGTGATGTTGAAAATTTTTTCATATGCCTGTTGGCCATTTGCATTTCCTCTTTGGAGAAATTTCTTTTTAGCTTTTCTGCCCATTTTTTGACTGGATTATTTTCTTTGTTTTTGTTGAGTCTCATGAGCTCTTCACAGCAAAAGAGACAATAACCAAAACAAAGAGAAACCCCATTGACTGGGAGAAAAATTTTGCACACAACACTAATGATAAAGGACTGATCACAAAAATCTGCACCTTTTAATTTTTAAAATTATTTTAATCTTTTTAAAAAAGATTTACTTATTTTTATACAAGAAACCGGGTACATGCCAGATGTGCGGGAGGGTGAGAAGATTCACAGGAGACAGAGCGGGAACAGAACAGGCAGACTAAAGAAATACACTGCTGAGGGGAGCAGCGGGAGAGACAGGAGAGGTCTGCTTCACCATGTGGGATTCTCCCCAGCAGGCTGGGATAGAACCCCTGCTATAGAGGCTGCGGACAGCTGCACAGTTCGGCACTCAACTGCTTGCACCACCAGGGAGACCCAATTATTTTAACTTTTAAAAATATATAGTGAAGAATTTTAATTAGATATGTGGCTTGCATTATACTCTATATAGGACAACACTGAGAGAAATCTGGATTCTAATCCTGCCCAATCCAATGTCTACCTAGTGAAAACTGAAGCAGCCTCAAAAAACTCATTTCATTTGGGAAAAAACAACTTCCTTCATAGTTAAAGAGGATTTGAAATACTGTCCACACCACCTCTTAGGTTGGCATCCTTCTCTTGCTTCTTCACAGAAAACAGCCCTGCCCAGTATGGCTGGACAGGATGTGTACTGCACAGGATGACACACTGAAGTTGGGGTGCTGTCCACATGCCACATAAGTAAACTTGTATATTTATCATTGTAATATCCTGGTACCTGGACACAAGTATCTTGTTCTAACAAAATAAGTGTGTTACATGATTTTCCAACAGATGGAACTAAAGTACCTTTAGGAAGAGGTTTCTGGATTCGTGCGAGCCCTACAGGAACCTGAGACCTGCCTCAATTCTTCTCCAAGGACAAACTTCTTTGCTGATTTAGGCTCCATCTCTGTCCTCTGCCTGGTACATCTGAGGGCAGAAGCTCAGTGCCCAGATTTAAGCCTTAATTTACAAAAAAAAAAATCACTATTGCAATGACTAGCAGGGTCAGGTTGAGGCTGGCCCAGGATGTGTTACTTACCTTTTCATTTTTCTTCTCGTCTGGCTTGCATCCTGTGTTGGTGGGATTGGATGTCAACAGGCTGCTGATGGGTCCTCCTCCAACCTCCCCATTGAGGTTGGCAGCACTGACATTGGGAGGGGTGATGGCTGATGCTGCAGACGTCAGTGGGATGGCTGGTCTGGGGCACTGGGCCCCAACAGCTGTCTGCATCAGGGGCTGGTGGATGTGCTGTGGGGATACCACAGAGTGGGGCCTGAGGCTGGCAGTAGGCAGGCGGGATGGGGAGTTCTGGGTATGCAGGGGTGACACTGTGGCAGTTGGCCGGTCCTGAGCCTGAGTTGAGGTGTGAGCAGCTGGAGAAGAGGGTTGGAGAGAAAGCAGGATTAAAGATTAGTTTGCAACTTGCAAAAACAATTGCAATTGACGCTTTTCTCAGACTCATCTTCTCTGAGCTCATGGTCTCTCTCCAAAATCTCTCCACACTTGGCCACAGAGAAATTGGCAGAGAACCTGAGGTCTAGCGACCCTGCAAACACACCCCATCTTTCTGAAGTCTGGCCACTGCTCCAAAAAGCACTCCTTCAGGAGGGGCTAAACCATCTTTTTTCAGTTAATCATGAATGTGGGCATGTTCCCAGTTCGTTATGAAGTTTTCTAACTGGGTTTCTTTGCTGCAGTGAAATAATGCATTCAGAAGACTCTTCTTAAAATGTTTATGAAAGTAAAGCCTGTGGGGGCCTCCCTGATGGCTCAAGCAGTTGAGCATCGCAGTGTGAAGCTGTCTGCAGCCTTTGCAACATGGGTTAGTTCCCGGCCGGCCAGCGAGAGTCCCACATGGCAAAGCAGACCTCTCTTGTCTTGCCCGCTGCAGCCTTCAGCACTGTTTCAGTCAGTCTGCCTGTTCTGTCCCCCGCTCTGTCTCCGGTGAATCCTCTCACTCTCCCAAACAACTAGCCTGTACCCCAGTTCTTGTATAAAAATAAATAAATCTTTAAAACAAAAAGAAATAAAAGTAAAGCCTGTGGAAAAAACATAAACAAGTATCAAGATTCCCACAAATTATCAGACATCATTGCATGAAGTCAGTGGTCATGAATAGCCCAGCTCTGGTTAGTCTCACCACATAACTGTAATGGCCAACTCCTTTATTTATCAGCCTTGGTTCTTGATCAAACTGGGCTGGGGCAGTGAGCTTTAACTGGTGACCATGACCATGAAGGAATCTGTGTGCACTTCTCTGTACTGCAGCCTCGACCAAAACCATCTGCCTCTGGACTGCACTCTGCCTGGGTTCCTTCCTCACCTACATATCAAAGCAATGGAGTTCCTTGATTTACAGAATAGCAATCTTGCAATGATGAATTCACCCCCTCGCTACCAGCAAAAATGCCTCCTAAAAATTAAAAATGTTAGGCGTCTTAAAGCATAACATTTGTACCCTCTGCCATTTGCAAAATAAATTTCCCTTTAAATGCAACACCATGTTAACATTATTTCTGCTGCTTCTTGGTTAGTAATTTTGAAGAGTTGTGTCCCTACTAATTACAGATGATGCAGAGACAGAACATGCAGAGGAGTGGTGACTTGCAACCTGGCAGGACAGACCTGAAGGGAGTCCCAAGCCCTGGCAGGACATCACCTTGAGCCAAGTGTTCCATATGACATTGTGCAACCCTTATTCACTAAATTGTGCACTGGTATGCTAGAGAAAAAAAGCACATGTCATTATGTCCTTGTTTCCTACCATCAGAATTTGTGGTGTTCAGAAGTTTAGTAAAATACATGCAATAAGTCAATATTCTCAGACCCATGTGGGTTTTGAATTGATAGCACTTCCTAGTACTTCCTGGGAAGTCACTCCACACACAGTGAGCACTGTCCATCTGTGTGCCAGGTCTCTTTCCTCTGACAGAGCTGTGGGAAGAACCTGCAAGATCTAATTATGTGATTAAGGCGGCTCTGGGACCCAGGTGCATGTGTGGTTTCTAGGAGGTGAAATGTATAAGAACTCATTTATGGTTTGAAAATGATTTAGGGTTTAGGTCTTCATTCAGTGTGGTTTCACATTTTAAAATAAGACCAGGTCGGGCAATTATGCAGATCGATGAAGTGACTGGGTCACTTAATTACCCGGAGGTAACCTGTGACTTGGACAATGCTCCTGGGACCATTTATTTGCCTCTCCCCTGCTGTCTGAACTCTCCTTCACCCCCAGAATGGGAACTAACTGCTCAACTGAGGATGTACAGCCACACCTGTGTCCCAGAAAATCAGTCTACAAGGCCTCTTGAGGTTTTCTTACTAGCTTGCACATGACTGCCACATCATCTTCTTAAACTGGATACAAAAGAAGAGAAGGTGTTCCAGAAAGTTCCAAGCCTGCTGTGCAATCTCTAATGTTTCCCTCTTTTCTTGCCCTTAGCAACTTGGGCTTCCTGGCTGCACCTCACACATGCAGGCGCTCCCTTGCCTCAGAGGGTGGCAGAGTCCGTTACACAGATGGCTCTTCCCCAGAGTGGTGCAGGGAATCCCATGCTGCTGTCAGATTAGATCCCACATTGAGAAACCTGTCCTCATCACCTAATGGAGCAAAACCTGTCACAGCAACCTCAACATTTCTTACTCTGCTCAAATGCTTCTTTTCTCCCAAGGCACTTACCTCCTTTTAGTAGTCTTTATAATAGACCACTTTATTGTATGCTGATTGTTGACTATCTCTGCCCACAACAATGAAGTGCCAGGAGGGTGGAGGCATTGGTTCAATTCATTTATATTATTCCAAATACCTGGAATGGTGTCTGGCATTGAGCAGGCACTTATTACATATTTACATATGTAATGTAAATATGTATTATTTTTAATATATTTTTTATGAATGAATGAATCTTTGCAAAAAGAGAACTCCAGCTACATCTCTACAGATCTCACAGATTGCACCATTAGAGAAGATAACAAAACTCCACAAGAAAGAGAAGCATACTGCTGGTAGGAGATTTGGGGATGTGTTCATATTCATTGATCTTCAGGATGGTTTACTGTAATTTTATCCACTTTGCATCAACAAAACTTGGGTTGACAAAACTAGTGATCTGATAAGTTAACAACGCTGAAGCAAGCCACACAACAGATGTAGAAAGTTGGAGAAAACGCTATTTGACCTCTAGTTCACTTCTCTCCTTTCTTGGAACCTCTGAGATGCTTCAAAACAGGAGCCTCTGAATCCCACTATCCCTCAGGCAGTTCACTGTTGCCCTCCACCCCGCTCCCCCCCGCCAGAACATAGAATCATGCCCAGCATCGAGAAGTTGCTTTACAAAGAGTGGTTCATTTATAAATGGAACGAATAAATGACTTATGTCATCATTATCTTTGTCCTTTTTTGCTCATCCTTTAAGACTGAAATGAGAACAACTAGAAACTCCCACAATGACTCTTTTAACTCACAACATCCAGCCCCTTTGACCTCCAGCCCTGTGGATACACAGTCACCCTGTCACCTTCACGTTGACCCCTTTCCCTGGCTCATGCCCTTATTGCCTATATTTAATTCGCTTGAGCTTTCCTCCTATATTTATTAACCAAGTTTTGTCTCTCCCATTTACAAATAGCCCTGCTATAATTTGTATTCCTTTAGCTAGTAGTAAGGAACTACGAGTTGGTATACTTTGAAATGGAACAGAGCCCACACATGCTCTCCCTCACTCTTTACTCACTTCCTTGTGTGTTCTGTATTTGTGCTCTGGCAGTTTTTGTAATTTTTTTTTTCCTTGTCCTTTGATGTTTGATGTTTAAGTGCATCTGTTTGGGTTTGGATTTATGCTGATTTTCCCACTCAACTCTGTATTGTACTTTCCATGTGAATGCTTGCGTGTTCTGGAAAATGCATGGTGAGGCTTCTTTTTTTTTTTCTGTATTAAAGGAAGCTGCTTTATTTTATTTTATTTTTTTATAATAAATTTTATTTTTATATTCCCCATACAATTGCAACCCCCCCATTCTGACCCCAATCCCTCCCCTCCCGCCCCCCACCCCCCAAAAAGTGTCTCTGGTTCATAGTTTTTTGTTGATTTTGATTTTCACTTTGTTATAGTTATTCATTTTCCTGGTCCCTTATTTAAGTTTTCTAGATTCCTGCTATGAGTGAGACCATCCGGTATTTTTCTTTTTCTTTTTGGCTTATTTCACTGAGCATGATCCCTTCCAGTGCCATCCATGTTGCTGCAAATTGCATGTGTTTATCTTTTTTGAATGCTGAGTAATATTCCATGGTATATATGTACCACATCTTCTTGATCCAGTCATCTATATTTGGGCATTTGGGCTTCTTGAATATTCTCCCACCTCTGTACTGATATTTCTGAAAGTCCTGTAAGTCTAAAGCAAAAGCAGTTTGGAGTCTTCAATTTACCTTTCACATTTATTCTTTTTCATATTTTTCATCTTTGTTCTATGTTCCAGATAAATTCCTTTGTTTGGGTTTCCACTGTCATGAATTCCATCTTCAACTGTTGTTCACGTTAGGGCTTATGTCATTTAGTTTATGTTTTGTATTTAAATGCATTTTCCTTCCCAAAATGTCAAGCTGTTTTTTTTTTTTTTTCATATCGAGTGGTTTGTGATTCAGTCGCCTACCTGTGTTTTTTCATAACACTTTTTTCTTTCTGTGGTGGAAGTCATTTCTTCTTTTTCCTCTTGTAGGATCTTAAAAATACTGATTTCAAAGACTTTCAGATTCCCTGCCATTTCTTCAGTACTGGCTACCATTTATGCATGAACGTTGGGAAAAGGTGCTACTCCCAGTGTGTGTGTGTGTGTGTGTTTGTGTGTGTGCATGCGCATGTGTGTCTGTGTGTGTTCCTGGCTCTGGGCAGTTTCATCATGTGCATGTGTTGATAAGTCCCAGGAGATCTGCATCCTCTAGGGTTTTCCCTCCCAGGACCACTTCTTGAATCTTCTCTCCAGATAGTAAGTTGGGCCTGCCTCTTTCTTTCCTGTATCTCATGGTTTTCTAATATTTGAAGTATCACACTGTTTCTTTACACACACATATATATATATAATATATATATTTTATATTACCTATATATAATACATATATATATAATATATATTTTTAGTTGTTTCCATTAGCTGTCCTCACTCACTACTTTGTGACATAAGCAAAAGTTTATCTTTCACATAAAAATATATGCTAATATATATTATTTAAAACCCTCAAATGTGCCCATTGCCCTTTGGATAAAAAATGAAATTCTTCACATGTTCTAAAGGAGCCTTCACGACCTGCCTTGCCTACTGTACTGTTTCAGCTTTACCACAAAGACACTCAGTCTCTTGCTTTCTTTGTTCTTCCACAACAACCTGATTTCCATTTTCTTTTCTTTTTTGGAAAAATTGATTGTTTTTAATAGAGGTAACACTGGAAGTATAACTGGTATTTTGGAAGTATAGACTGCTCATCAGGTATCACTACCATAGTGGCCCACCACGAGGTCACCCACAGCCCACCACTATAGTCCACTGATTTCCATTTTCAAGCACACTGTCTCAGCTTTCCACAGCTTCTATTCTCACCCCTGCTCACCATCCCATGTTCGATTCTGCCCATCTTTGAGATCCAAAAGTAAGAATTGTCAGCAGCACACTTTCACACTTTTTCTTTCAGTCACATCAAATGAAAGTTACCCAAGATAAGGTTTCTCCTTGCCATGTCTTTGACTTGCTAGTGTCCCTGGTAGAACTCTGCTCTGTCTACTCAGACAGTCCAGTTCCCACTGTCCTTTAAAATCAACTGTCAGGTCTCCCCGGTGGTGCAGTGGGTTGAGTGCAGCACTGTGAAGCTGTCCGCAGACTCTGCAGCATGGGAGTGATTCCTGGCCGGCGAGGGAGATACCCACATGGCAGGGCAGACCTTGCCTGTCTGGCCCGCTACTCCCCTCAGCAGTGTTTTCAGTCCATCTGCCTGTTCTGCTCCCCACTCTGTCACTGGTGAATTCTCTCATCCTCCGGCACATCTGGTCTGTACCCCAGTTCTTGTATAAAAATAAATCTTTAAAAAAATCAACTGTTCAATAAATCTCTTTCCTATTCCCTCTCCTGTTTTGCTCTGTACCTGAATGAGATAATGCTCCATGCTTTCTTAATACCAATGTATGTCTCTACCACAGTGCTTTTCAAAATGTACTGCATGAATTTGTTTGCCTGTTCTTCTCTCTATTTGGGAGTAGAAGTGTGATATGTTTGATCTTCTCTATATTTCTAGACCCTGGAAGAGTGCCTTGTGCCTAGTGTGTATCTGGCTCTCCTGAGTATTTTTGTTCTTGTGTCTGCTAAGTACACATATGTGGACATGTGGACACTAGCCCTTTATAGTGTCTGTCCTCAAAAAAGAAGTCACATTAATCAAGTAGACCAAATCATAGTGGATGCAAAGGAAAATGCAATTAAGTCTTTGTCAAACTGCCTGGCTTTGTAAGTGATGAAACGCTTCTCACAGCCTGGTTTGGAGTCTGCTGAAATGGACAATCACTGCCGCTCACTATCTAATACTTGTACTGTCAATAGTGGTTTTCTCTTTCAAAATGCAGAATGAAGTAGAAAATGCTGTGGGTGCTCAGTGGCATTTAATTTATTGATATGGTGCAGTAGGAGCCCTTCTTTTACTTGGTGGTGACAACAATTGTGTGGGGCCAAGCATGAGTTTGGAATGCACTGGGGAGGCCCTTTCAACCATCCTGTGCCTCCTCTTCCCATATGTAAAATTACACGATGGAAGAGAAAGCTTGTCACACCACAGTGGTTACTATGGTGATGATGACTGAGATGCTGTGTTGTGCTGCCCTGGCCATGCCAATTTTTTTTTTTTTTTATTCTGCTTGTTATTCCATAGAGGGAGAAATGACTGGCAGGTCTCATTTTCTTCTTGGAATTGAGAAAGTTGCAAGCAAGTCATGCTATGGAAAGGCCATTATTTTAACATTTTGTGCAGGTCACCCAGGGTTGTCCCACGGGAATGCTGGGTCTTAGTGAGTAGCAGGGCTGCCCAGTTTTTCTCGGCCAAGGCTACCCAGTTTCTACACGTAGAATCATTTGTATGGCAAACGGAAGAGTGGATGACATTTTTATAGCCAGAGGGCACCTGGTTTGGTATGTTAGCTGCTCCAGGTACTGGCTGGATTTTCCAAGGGCCCACAGGTCGGTATTTGTCATACTTCTGATTAGCACAGCAGTCAGCAAGTTGCCCCGTGGGCTCACCTGTTCCTTGGCTACTACAATGGCTGTATCCCTAGCTAGAACCCACTAATAAACACCACCTGAGGAATTTATATGCACAGCTGTTTGGAAAGTAGTGGTTGGGTGCAGGATGTCTGGTACTAGGTAGTATTGCTGCAGAGATCTTAGTACAAAGATAACTAGGTCTTCCTCATAGGTCAGAGCTGAATAAATACAGAACTTATTCCTGGTCAATGTAATATATACAAAAGATTATTAGGCATTTACAGGTAGGTGTTTGGAATGGAGTCAGTCTTGGAGACACTAGAGTCAGAGCAGTACCCAGGCCTTGTGCAGACCTAACCGTCCCCGATGGGTGAATGCCATTCCACAGAGGAAGAAACAGTTCTCAGCCCTGATAGTAGCCCCAGCATTCACAGATCGGCCTGCTCCGCACATCCATGCCTCCATCAGGCTTATGAAATTACTTGCAATTGACAGGATAAGAACACACTCTCTCCTACTTCTACTCATCATCTTTTCCTCTCACTCCTAAGGTGTCTTCTTTCATCTTTGTTTTCCTCCCTAAATGTTTACTGCTCATTCTGGGATGATCTCTCCCAGGGAGGCTTCCCCGTTGTCCTCCCTCCATCACCAAGTGTCCCACATCAGAGAGTCCTCACATCAGCTCCCTCAAGATATCCTCCTTCACATACACCCCCCCCACCTCATACTCTCCCCCACATTCATAATCCTCCATACCCTGCCCATAGCACCCACAAGTTCCCGGGGGTGTCACTGCTCCCTGCCAGCCAGCGTGTGAGATCTGAGCACAGGGGTGGGGTCCTCTCTGATTAACAGGCATGCTGACTTCGCAGACTACACCCCAGGATATTGAAAGCTTTTTTTATCACAGCCAGCGGTACATGCACGTGCACTGCCAATGCCTCCTGTCACACAGCGGCCCAGATTGGCACCTGATGGCAATGTTCAGGCAAATTTCCCCAAAGAGAGAAATGTGGGCTGGTAGACACCTACTGTCCATGGCTGTGACTCAGGGGGATGCGTGGGTATGATAAGTCAGCACATTTCTGTGAGATCAGCATATGTTCAAGATTACTATAAGCAAATTAGAACTGGGCCAAAATGTATCTTGTGATTAGTTCCTGAGCTCTGCTGTCAAATGTTCCCATAAGGCAAGGTCCCGGGGCCCCTGGTACCTGTGGGGATGGTGCTCCGGACCTGGCTGGTGACCAGCTGGGGTGAGTGCAGCAGACATGTGCTCATTGGGGGAGAGGCAGCCTGGTGCTGGGCCTGGGCCTGGAAAGTGGTGAGGGGCAGTGCAGACCTCGTGGCTGTGGCTGGGCTGCTCAGACTTCCACCACTTGGGTGGATGGTTGTGACCATCCCTTTGGCCAACGGAGACCCTCCATTATTTCGGGGTGGTCCAGCCACTCCTACAGGAACCCTAAGGATAAAACATAGCATCAAGTTGGGTGAGGGCACAAATGAAACCTCATCACACAGGACACTGGCAAAGCCTGCTCTTACATGGGCACTCTAGTCACATACTCCAGGGGGAAAACCCTAAAATAATGTCAAGATCATCTCTATGGCAAACGATCCCCAGAGCTCACATTCAGTTGCAGGGCACCCTTTATGAAAACTCCATGTGGGCTAACTCTCAATGTGAATATTCAAGAAAGAGCAAAAGAACCCCAAGAAACAGGAATACCCATCAAATATTCTGCAACCGGCTTACTGTCTTGATTTATCCTAAAAAAACAGTTGTGTGTCTCCAAATACAAACAGAAAAACAGAGATACAGTCATATCCCATGATATTTGGGCACATCTGGCATGTAGCAGAAAGCAATGGGCAGGACCCACCTCCCTCTGGGCACAGCTTCCTTCTCATTTCTGCCAGCTTCTGGGGAAGGGTGCAGGTCTACTACTGCCTCTGAAGGGATGTCAGGAAACTTGCAGCTTCACCCAGAAATACCCCTTCACTCAATTTCTAGATGAAACTAATTTCTATTTTTAAGAAAAGGAAAAGGAACACAGCAGCTTGAAAATGGGCTGTTTAGCCCTTTCATCCCACATGCATGTCCACTAAATCTCTGTCTAGGGGTATGAGATACAGAAGAATGTGGAGACTTGGGGGCAGCTGTGGGTTTTCATCAGAATGGTTTCCATTTCTCTAAGAGAAGACAGACTGGCCCCTCTTTCCTAAAGATCTCAGTTGTGAGACACCAGAAGCCATCAGACAACTGCTGGGTCGTGGCTCCCGGGTCAGGTCAGATGGCCCCATCTCTCTTAGCGCTGCAGGTAAGTGCTCTGCAACATGGGTCAAGTTAGCATCTCCATGGCACCGAGTCAGGGCTCCTGAGGAACAGCTGTGGCAGGAAGGAACTCCTAGCAAAGGACTGGGCTGTGCGGGAACCATGGGGCAAGGGTCAACACTTTCCTTCCTTAGCCTCAGTGCAACCCAGTGATTGGTCTCTAGCAAGAAGTTCAAGTGGCCAACCAACACCAAGATTTCTTTCTTTCTTTTTCTTTTTTTTTGAAAATCACAGCTACTACCTGTTGAGCTCACTTTTATTCTAAGAATTTTTTTTAATTGAGTAAAGTGGGCTTACACATTATGGGCCTTCCAGGAGGGCTGTCAGATGATGCGATGAGTGCACCAGGTAGCAGGGTAATCCCCAGGGCTGTGACACCCAGGCCAGCATGGCCCCTCTGGGTCTTGGGGAAGTATGATCAATCCAGCCATACAAGACCTAGGTCTTATTTTAAAGAGCAAAAGGCAGTGCTTTTTATTATTTTATTTTATATATTTTTTACATCATTTTTCAATTTTGCACAATGTATGCGTTTTCATCTTGGTTATAATCCCCATACACTTCCCACCACCCCTTTGGTTTGATCCTACTGCCTTCTCCCATTCCCACCCCAGCCCGGTGTGTCTCTGGTTTATAGTTGCTTGTTGATTTTGATTTTTACTTTATTATAATTAGTTTTTTTTCCTGGTCCCTTATTTAGGTTTTCTAGATTCCTGCTATGAGTGAGTCCTTCCGGTATTTTCCATTTTCTTTCTGGCTCATTTCTCTGAGCATGATACCTTCCAGCTCCATCCATGTTCCTGCAAATTGCATGAGTTTATCTTTTTTGATTGCTGAGTAATATTCCACGGTGTATATGTACCACATCTTCTTGATCCTGTCATCTACTTTTGAGCATTTGGGTTGTTTCATAGCTTACCTATTGTAAATAGTGCTGCTATAGAGAGAGGGCGGAGCAACATGGCGGCGAGGAGATGCTGCGAGTAAGATCTCCCATTAAAAAAAGTTAATAGGGAGGAAAAGCGGCAGGTCCCAGTGAGAACTGGGACACGGAAGATAAACGGGTGACTCCAGCAAACTACCCGAAGAAGAAAGTGGCCATAAAAGAGGACTAGAAGGGAGGAAAGCGCAGAACCCTGCTCCCCTCCCCCACCCACAGAGTCTGCACTCTCCGACCGGCAGAGAGGAGGAAAAAAACACACTAAAACGACCAACAAGAACAAACTATGCATCAAGTGGGACTGTGAGTGGAAAGGAACTGTTGCAGCCACCACACCCCGTGAACGGGAGCAGTGGAGAACCCTGCAGGATTCGCTGCGGCAGTGAGCGAATGGCTCCGGGCGCCATTGGAGAACAAAGAGACTCTGGAGGAGACCCGCACTCAGCCCCGGGCCGGCCGGTAAGCTTGCGCGGAAAAGCAGCGCGCTTGGCGCGCTTGAAAAGCAAACGCGGATGGGATCTCGGCTGCCCAGGTCCCAGCGCCTGCGACCTAAGCTTGCGGGGAGACGCGCAGAGGCCCTCACTGAGGTGAAAGTCCCTTACTGAGTAAGCAGGAACCAGGCGCCCAGGCACGGGAGCTGGTGCAAAAGGCGCCATTCCCGTGCCACTGAACTGGGCTACACCCCGCGTCCTGGACCTGCGGGCTTTGGAACTGAGACCCGGGGCACGAAGTTCGGGGTGTGGGTTCTCCACGATGGTGGGGCACAAGGCAGACACAGCACCCCAAAGCCGTTGAGGTTTACCCTACCATTCCCGCTCTGTTCCCTGTCCCACGGGGTGCGGGGGGCGAAAAACAGCCCCCCAAGGACAATAGGAGAGATCTCTGGCGCCACCTAGCGACCAGAAAAAAAAGTCACTAACACCCCATAGAACAGGGAAATTTCTTAAGACTGCTTGAAAAGGGCAGAAGGCTCACGGAGGAGACAGTGGCCAGCTAAGAAGTTAGCCCACGCCAGGCCCCTTCCGACTAGCAGTCTGAGCCCACAGAGGGAACAGGCACCCACGTCTGGGGCAGACCGGGCACACAGAAGAGTGTGCCTGAGACCGGATGCACAGGGACTGTGTCCCGCTTCGCCATTTTAGATCAGGGACATTTCTTCAGTAAAGACTGCCTAAAAACAGCAGAAAGCTCCCCCAGAAGCCAGAGATGGCTCCTGGAGGAGCCAGAGGGGAGCGGAGAAGTTCACCCAAGATGACGGCCAGTCCGAGCAACACAGTGTCCCAATGCATACGACAAATTAGAAAACAGACAGTAGGGAGTAGAAGAACCACACTCAACCTAACAACTCCTCAGGAAAGAAGCACACCACGAAGAGAAAACCACCGCCCAGATTGCAACGACAGTAACTTGGAAGAACTTCTGAGCCTTCCCGAAAGAGAATTTAAAATTGCCATGATTAAAAAAGTGACAGAAGTCATAAAGGGAAACATGATCAGAAGAAGGAAATCGAGTCCCTAAAGAGGGAAAACAATGGTCAGAAGAATGAAATTCAGTTCCTAAAGAGGGAAGTAAAAGGAATGCAGGAGATCAAAGAATTAATGGAGGAACTAAAGAACTCCGGGAAAAGCAAGGAAAGCAGAATAGATGAAATGGAAGAACGAATAAGTACTCTTGAAGACACAGAAATAAAAAGAACCAAAACAGAAAAAGAAAGAGAAGTACGAAGGAAAAAGAACGAAGAAAGACTTCGGGAACTATCTGACTCCATGAGGAAAGGAAATATAAGAGTTATAGGAATTCTAGAAGGAGAGGAGAGAGATGTAGGAACAGAGAAAATATTCCAGGAGATAATTGAAGAGAACTTCCCAAACGCGAAGAAGGAGCTGAAAATTGATATACAAGAAGCAAGAAGAACACCAAACTTCCACGACGAAAGGAAAAATACAGTAAGACACATAATAGTAAAGCTCCCAAGAATCCAGGACAAGGAAAAAATAATGAAGCTGACAAGAGGGATGAAACAGATAACATTCAAAGGAAAACCAATCAGGCTGACATCAGACTTCTCTGAAGAAACACTACGGGCAAGGAGAGAGTGGAGGGGCACAGTCAACAGACTCCAAGAAAACAGATGCCAACCAAGAATACTCTATCCCGCAAAGCTCTCCTTCCTCTATGAAGAAAGAATAAGGACCTTCCCAGACAAAGAGAAACTCCGTAATTTCATTACAACTAAACCCCCACTCCAAAAAATACTACAAGGAATCCTAAAGCCAGAACCTCAGAGGGACGAATAACAACGAACGAAGACCAAAAAAAAAAAAAAGTTATTAAAAGAATAAATAAATAAAATCAAAGGAAAGACAAACACAATGGCAAATACAGATGCTAACATATCAATATTAACTCTAAATATAAATGGACTAAACTCTTCAATAAAAAGACACAGAGTTGCAGCCTGGATTAAGAAACAAACCCAACCTTTTGATGTCTCCAGGAAACACATTTAGCTACAAAAGATAAAAATAGGCTCAAAGTTAAAGGATGGAAAACAATCCTACAAGCAAATGGACCAAAAAGAAAACAGGAACAGCTCTACTTATATCAGATAAAACAGACTTCAAACTCAAAAAAATAAAAAGAGACCCCAATGGTCACTACATTATGATCAAGGGGACAATACTTCAAGAAGAAATAACACTCATTAACATAAACTCACCCAACGAAGGAGCACCAAAATATATCAGACAACCGTTGTCCTCTCTGAAAACAGACATCAGAGAAAACACATACGTAGTGGGAGACTTCAACACACCACTATCAACAATGGATAGATCAATAAGACAAAAAAAATAAGTAAAGAAACTAAAGCTCTAAATAAGGACCTAGAGCATTTGGGCTTAACAGACATCTATAGAACAGTGAACCCAAAAAAAACGGAGTACACATTTTTCTCAAGCGCACATGGATCATTCTCCAGGATTGATCACATACTGGGGCACAAGACAAACATCAACAGATACACCAAGATTGAAATCATACCAACCATATTTTCTGACCACGAAGGCATAAAACTAGAAATAAACCATAAAAAGAAGGCAAGGAACTATCCTACCTCATGGAGATTAAAAACCACACTACTGGAAGACCACTGGACTAACAAGGAGATCAAAGAAGAAATTAAAAAATTCTTTGAATTGAATGACAAGGAGGACACCAATATCCTAAATGTATGGGATGCAGCAAAAGCAGTAATAAGAGGAAAATATATAGCAATAGAAGCTCACATCAAAAAACAAGAAAGAACTCAAAGAAACAACCTAATCTCGAAGCTCAGAGATCTAGAAAAAGAACAACAAAAAAAACCCCAAAACCAATAGAAGAAAAGAAATAATAAAAACCAAAGCAGAAATAAATGAAATTGAAACTAAAAAAACAATCCAAAAGATCAATGAAACCAAGAGCTGGTTCTTTGAAAAAAATCAATAAAATAGACAAACCCCTAGCCAGGCTCACAAAGGAAAAAAGGGAGAAAGCACAAATAAATAGGATCATAAATGAAAGAGGGGAAATCACAATGGACACAGCAGAAACCAAAAGAATAATCAGTAACTACTATGAAGAGTAATATGGAAACAAGTTCAACAATCTAGAGGAGATAGACAAATTCCTACAACTCTACAATCACCCAAAGCTAGATAAAGAAGAAATAGAACACCTAAACAGACCAATTCAATATAATACTGGATGTCCTAGCCAGAGCAATAAGACAAGAGAAAGACATACAAGGAATCCAAATACAAAAAAGAAGAAATCAAACTATCACTATTTGCAGATGATATGATAATATACATAGAGAACCCCAAAAACTCCACAGAAAAACTAATTCAACTCATCAATCAATTCAGTAAAGTGGCAGGACACAAAATCAACACGCAAAAGTGAGTAGCCTTCCTATACACAAACAATAAATCTGAAGAAGAAGAAATCAAAAAAAAATCCCTTTTATTATCGAAACAAAAAAAAATCAAGTATTTGGGAATAAATCTAACAAAAGAGGTAAAGGACCTATACAAAAAAAACTATAGAACACCGTTAAAAGAAATAGAAGAAGACACAAAGAAATGGAAAGACATCCCCTGCTCATGGCTTGGAAGAATAAACATTATTAAAATGGCCATCCTACCAAAAGCAATATACAGATTCAATGCTATTCCAATCAAAATTTCAATGACATTCTTCAAAGAAATAGAACAATTATTGATGAAATTCATATGGAATCACAAAAAACCCAGAATAGCCAAAGCTCTACTGAAAAAAAAGGAAGGAAATGGAGGCATCACACTCCCAGACTTCAAACTATACTACAAAGCCATAATCATCAAAACTGCATGGTATTGGAACAAGAACAGACATACAGACCAATGGAATCGAATAGAAAATCCAGAAATAAACCCACAGATTTATGGTCAACTAATCTTTGACAAAGGAGCAAAGACTATGCAATGGAGCAAAGAAAGTTTGTTCAATGAATGGTGCTGGGAAAACTGGGTTGCTACATGAAAAAGAATGAAGCTTGACCACTACCTCACACCATACACAAAAATCAACTCAAAATGGATTAAAGAACTAGACATAAGACCTGAAACCATAAAATACATAGAAGGAAATATAGGTGAAACACTACGTGATGTGCATATCAAAGACATCTTTACCAACACATCACCCAAAGCAGTGATAGTGAAGGCAAAGATAAACAGCTGGGACTACATCAAATTAAAGAGCTTCTGCACAGCAAAAGAGACAATAACAAAAACAAAGAGAAACCCCACCAACTGGGAGAACATTTTTGCACACAACACTAATGATAAAGGACTGATCACAAAAATCTGCAAATTGCTGATGAGACTCAGCAACAACAAATAAAATAATCCAGTCAAAAAATGGGCAGAAGAGCTAAAAAGAAACTTCTCTGAAGAGGAAATGCAAATGGCCAACAGGCATATGAAAAAATGTTCAACATCACTTGTAATCAAGGAAATGCAAATCAAAACTACCATGAGATACCATCTTACACCAGTGAGAATGGCACTTATTAAAAAAACTAGCAACAGCAAATTTTGGCGAGGTTGTGGAGAAAAAGGAATTCTTCTACACTGTTGGTGGGAGTGCAAACTGGTCCAACCACTATGGAGAGCTGTGTGGAGATTTCTGGACCTACTAAACATAGAGCTTCCATATGATCCAGCAATTCCACTCCTAGGTATTTACCCAAAGGACACAGAAACATCCATTCCAAAGAGCACCTGCACCCCTATATTTATAGCAGCACTATTTACAATAGCTAAGCTTTGGAAACAGCCCAGATGCCCAAAAATAGATGACTGGATCAAGAAGATGTGGTACATATATACCATGGAATATTACTCAGCCTTCAAAAAAGATAAACACATGCAATTTGCAGCAACATGGATGGCGCTGGAAGGGATCATGCTCAGCAAAATAAGCCAAAAAGAAAAAGAAAAATACCGGATGGTCTCACTCATAGCAGGAATCTAGAAAACTTAAAAAAGGGACCAGGAAAATGAATAACTACAAGAAAGTGAAAATCAAAATCAACAAAAAACTATGAACCAGAGACACTTTTTGGGAGGTGGGGGGCGGGAGGGGATGGTTTGGGGTCAGAATGGGGGGTTTGCAATTGTATGGGGGAATATAAAAATAAAATTTATTATTAAAAAAAATAGTGCTGCTATAAACATAGGGGTGCAGGTGCCCTTTTGAATTATTGTTTATGTGTCCTTTGGGTAAATACCTAGGAGTGGAAGTGCTGGATCATATGGAAGCTCCATTTTTAGCAGATTGAGGAATTTCCACACACATCTCAATAGTGGTTGGACCATTTTGCACTCCCACCAGTAGTGCAGGAGATAAAATAATAATAATTGGGAAAAAACACTTCCAAAATACACTCTTCAAAGTTTAGTGATAATGGAGTTTGAGGACAGAATACTTGCAGGGTTTTCAACTTAGTAACTTATTCTCTCTTTCAACTTATTTCTTCATATTTGATACATATGTCAATTTAAATATATATATATATATATATATATATGAAACTGTATTTTATGACTAAGTCTGAATTCATATATAAGTAAATGTGTTCATTTAAAAAAAAAAAAGAGGGCAAAAGGGCCTCCCTGGTGGCAAAGGGGTTAAGTCTCAGCACTATCAAGCTGCCTGTAGCCACTGCTGCATGAGTTCAATCCCCAGCCAGGGAGCTAACCCACATGGCACAGCAGACCTCTCCTGTCTCACCCACTGCTTCCCTCAGCAGTGTATTTCAGTGGATCCACCTGTTTGGACCCCCACTCAATATCCGGTGAATCCTCTACTCCCTGCACCTCTGGCCTGTTCTTGCATGCATAAATAAATAAAATAAATATAATCAAGATGAAAATGCATACATTGTCCAAAAATGAAAAATGATGTAAAAAATACATGAAATTAAAAAAAAAATAGAGGGCAGAAACCCAAGGAACATGTCTTCAGTCTATTTGTGTGTCCTGCAGTGTTAACACCCATAAGGAGTTTCTGCAAGTGACATTATCTGAAACAAAATCAAGCAAAGCCCCCTCATCTCAGTGGAAAATTCTAAGACAATTTTGGATTGCCTCTTTTGCGAATTTTTAGAATTACCAGTTCTATTTCACAATAACAAATTTGTAAAATACAGAAAAGAACAGGGAAGAAAGTTTTTATATATCCACAAAGTTACCACTGAATAATTGTTAACTTGGGGAATATATCACTTTTTCTCTGTAAACATGCATATGTGTACGTTTCATGTGTAGCAGTGGTATGATAACACATGCGTGTCCTGGCACTCATGTGGTGCAACCACACTCTCTCTCACTTGAGGTCTCATTTATCCCCACTAGGTAGCAAGGGGATGTCTGAGCTCAAAGAACCCAGGCCTGCAGGTAGGACTACCTGGGCTGCCTCTGGACTGTGATCTGGGGTGTCCAGACCATAGCGCGAACTTCAGTAGTAAGGACAGTTGCTTTCCTCACCCAGGCAGTGAAGGTGGCCTCACCTGGAGACTGGCGTCACGTAGTTTCCTGGGAACACCCCAGAGAGCCCAGTCCTCAGGGACATGCCCTTGAACCAGCCATCCTGACATTTCTCAAGGACTCGGTACATTTCTCCCTTGCGCAGCTCCAGCTCATCATTCTTCTGGGGCTTGTAGGCATAGAGTGCCAGGTACCTGTGGGCAGAAGGACAGGACCAAGATTCAGTATATGGCTGGTGGGGGTAGGCACAGGGCCACCTAGAGTCATCCAGAAACAAGTGATCTCATCTGTGAATGGATCCAATCCACATCTGACCTACTTTTCACAATGAACTCATGAGATTGTTAGGGCTAGAAAAGGGCTCACACACTCCTTCAGAGGAGAACAGCTGCTTTTCTGCAGTCCAGCTGGACTAACACTTTGTTTCAAGGACCAGATAAGGCCTGGCAAGTCTGGAAGGACTATCTTTTAATTAGTTTCCCCTAGACCCAAAACAGAGGGAGTGAGGAGTTCCAATTAGTCTAGGACTCAGGAGGAGTGATGCAAGCAAAGTATGCATAATAAAGAACATCCCCAACAAGAACAACAACAACAAAAAAAACAACACACCCTCCTGTTTTACTGCTCAGGGCAGCTCTCACTTTCCTGAGACTGCCACTGCTCCTCCAGTGCTCTGTTCCATCGCTTCCTGATAAACTTTGCTGCTGGATTCACTCTGCATCGTGAAATTCTTTTCTTAAGAGACACCAAGGATTCTCTGTTGTCACAGTCCCCAACAATATGATGGGGGACAAGGAGATGACCAGTTCTAGGCGGTATTCCAGGGAAGGGACAGAGCTCTCTCTTGGATCCCAGAACTCACAGTCAGCCCTGTATGAACTGGGCAGCAGGTACACAGTGTCATCTTCCTATCTGACATGTCTGTGGAGGTTCCCTGACCTTTCCAAGACCATGGGGGGATGTGTCAGAATACATTGTGGGAGACAGCCCTTTGGACCCCACCATTTCTTTTCTTTTTTTAAAGATTTATTTTATTTATACAAGAACCAGGGTACAGTCCAGATGCTTGGGAGGGTGAGAGGATTCACAGGAGACAGAGCGGGGAACAGAACAGGCAGAATGACAAAATACACTGCTGAAGGGAGCAGCGGGCGAGACAGGAGAGGTCTGCTGCGCCATGTGGTACCCCCACCTGCTGGCCAGGATTGAACCGGCACTGCAGAGGCTATAGACAGCTTCATAGTATGGCGCTCAACTGCCTGTGCCACCAGGGGAGGCCCGGACCCCACCAATTCTTTTCTATCCTCCAGACTATCTAAAGTCTGGGCAAGAAGGAACTTTAGGGAAAAACAAGAGTGAACTAAGCAAGTTCATAATAGTCAACCTAGATGTACATTGACAGACAACTAGATAAAGAAATTGTGGGATATAAGCTAAATGCTTTATCACACACCTATGAAAAAGGTGAAAGTGTGCTTTTGGGACAAAATGGATGGATCTTGAAGGGTAAACAGAATAAGTCAAAAATGATGGTTAATGGATGGTCTCACTCATTTGCAGAATATAAATAACCAAAGAAAACAGGGAAAACAAGAAGAATGATCCTTAGGCTCTATGAAAAATATACCTGTTACCAGACAGGATGGGAGGAGAGAGGAGTGGAGAGGGTATGGGAGGGCAGGGCAGGGCAGGGCAGAGCAGGGCAGGGCAGGCAGGGGTTAATAGAGTTGTGGCACTGGAAAATTGGTGGAAGGTGAGTGATGCGTGTCCACAACTGGAGGTGTGAAGTCATATTCTCAAAATTAAACAGCTATGTAAAATAAAGTACTGGTAAATCGACACAACTTGAAAACAAAAATAATTGAGTGAGACTTGCAAAGTGCTTTGTTACTTTGGGGATTTGAGGGGTGGATAGTTTTGAACTGATGGAAATAACTATATCAGGCTCACAATATTCAATCAGCAAAGTTGGCGGGGGCTTCAGCTTAATAAGGGGCCAAAGATGGATTTCAACGATGCGTCACCTACTAGATCTCCACCCAGGATTGACTACTTGATAGGAAATTCACCCCTTCCCAGGGTCATGGGCTCACATGGATTGACAAGCAGCAGGCCTCTAGGGATCAAGGGATGCTAGAACACCCTCCTGACCCTGCGAGAGGTTTTCTTAGTAGTTGAATACAAAGTGGGACAGGGTTTGCTGGGTTAAAAAGTGAATGTAGGCTTCCTAGGCCTAAGAGGCCTAGTTAGGAATATGATAGAACACAGTGAGACTCCTATAGAGAAAAAGATTTCTTGACCCTAAAATAAAATAAGACAATACCTACCACCCTTTCCCAACCTTCTAATCCTATGCTCTGCAAACCCCTCTGCCATTATTCAAAGAAGGCCTTGCCTCATTTATTTCCTTTGTTTACAGGTTTCCCTCCCATGATCCTCTTCCTTAAGGGACCATCCTGTGGGTGAAAGGGTGGCTGACCCTTTTATCTCTTTCCCTATATGAAGAGATAAACACTGACAATTAGCAAGAAACCTGGACCTTGGGGAGGCTACATGAAGCCATTATGGAGAGAACCCACTCTTGTCATGGGCAGGAGGATTCATGTTTCCATGCAAGAATCAGGTGACAAAGAGGACATGGGTATGGTTTTTCTGTTTTCACATGTGATGCACTCTGGGAGCTCTCTAATGGCGACAGAAGAATTACCACAATTACCCGGTGGCGCAGCAGTTAAGTGCTGGGTTGCCAATCTGGCTGTAGCCTCTGCACCGCCGGTTCGATCCCCGGGCGAGGGTCCCACATGGCACGCATACCTCTCCTGCCACCCACTGCTCCTCTCAACAGTGTATTTCATCAGTCTGCCTGCTCTGCTTCCCGCTCTGGCTCTGGTGAATTCTCTCACCTTCCCATACTTCTGACTGTATCCAGTGCTTGTATAAATAAATAAATAAATCTTTAAAAAAAAAGAGAGAGAATTACCACAAGTGGTCAAAGCCACATAACAATGCATATGCAGGGTCTCCCTGGTGGCACAAGGGGTTAAGATGCAACCTATGAAGCTAGCTGCAGCCACTGCAGCAGGAGTTCGATCCCTGGCCAGGAATCTATCCACATGGCGCAGCAGACCTCTCCTGACTCTCCCGCTGCTCCCCTCAGCAGTGTATTTCAGTTGATCTGCTTGTTCTGTTCTCCACTCTGTCTCTGGTGAATCCTCTCACCCCCCCAACACACATACCCCTGGCCTGTACCCCAGTTCTCGTATGCATAAATAATTTTTTTTAATTTTGAAAAAAATGCATGTGCACCACCGATTTTAACTCTTCAGGGCTGCCCCATGGGGGAGCAAGGAGCTTACTCTCACAGCTTGACCTAGGCAAAGGAAGGATGAAAAGAAGAGAAAAAGAAAAAAGATGGGCAAGATCCATTCATGGGAAGCTTATGAATTGATAAAAATGATGCAGGACTTTTTGGACTTGTTCTCAGGGAAATATAAATATAATTGAAGCATAAATCTGGCTTAAGTGCCTCATTCTGTCTCATCATCGATGTAAGAATAATCTTTTTGATTCTGTGGCTGGTGAATATAGAGTGTCCAACAACTGAATACTAAGCTCGCTCCTTGGGGTTTGTGTGCGTGTGCATGTGCGCGCGTGTGTAACAGCCCTGACCTAGCAATCACGTTTTGTTCCCGATGCACAGTGGGGCCTACTGTTAAAGGGGCTGTGGCCCAGTTATAGCCTGTGTCCTGCTAGTCATGTTATTTGATCCCCAGGAGCAAGAGGAAACCAAGTTTCATGGGCCTCACATATGCCCCCCATCTTCTCTCTGAGCCACCCGAGCTGAATGGGGCACACTTCTCTTTAGCTACCTTTCAAGACAGGCCAACTCATTCAAAGAGAGTACTGTGTTGACAACTGCAAATTTCTTTCTCTTCCTCTCTCTGCTCCCCCACTTCTTGCCACACTTGTGGGATCTGAGCAGGATGAGCCTTGTGTCCATAACCATCTTTCACAGCCGGTAATTCACACTCCAGATTTAAAAATAAAGCAAGTGTTAGCAACCGCAGTAAATACTCCACAAACCATCTGAATTCTTTGACAGTCATGCCTGTGGTCCCGGGGGAGCAGCGATTACAAACTGAATGTTAACTATCTTTTGAGAATGAGTAGGTTAATTTGTGCTCAACATTTTAGGATCCCCATACCATTTAACGGGGCAAGGATTTTGGGGTTCCATTCTCAGCATTATAGGTATAGGGGTGTAGTCCATCCTTCCCCATTAAAATAAAAATGTAGATTCTTTAGATGTGAGCCTCAAATCATCTGGATTAAGACCCTTAAGTGAAAGAAGTATTTCAAATGTCTACTTTTATTAAAATAAAGGCAGGGAAATAGGCAACCTAGAGTTGAACCTGGGTAAACATCCAGTTTGCTCAACTTCTATTGCCACAGAGAGGTCACCAACCCACTTGCCAGGGTCATATCCTTTGGCACAGGATGTACTGAAAAGAAAATTATCATTTAGTTTGCAAAGGAGACAAATTTGGATTTATATCATGCCTGTTCCCATAGGAAGTCTAGATTCTTAAAGTGGAAAGCTGCCATTCTTTTACAACATCAGATATGAATATTTATCTGGAAGCCAGGCACTCCTGCAGTGCTAACAAGCAGTGAGGGCAGGAGTCATTTCCAAGGAAACCATTCTTCCCAGGAAAACACACCCTTCCCCAATTCCTCAAAGCACAGGTCTTGAAGTCATCAGAGTCAAAAAGTTGTAAGGAGTTGCTGTGTGGGGGCCACACGGACAGTCATGTAGGGGGTCTACCCCCAGCACAGGTGTGCACCTTGGGTTGAGGAGAGAAATTAATATTTGCCACCTGACAACCTTGCCTAAGAGCCACATGGACTTGGGGCTGCATTCTTTATCTCCCCACTGCACAATTCAGGAAATTGAGGCTCAAAAAGATTGAAAATCTGTGTTTACATCGTGCGCTGGAGATAAGCCATTTCTGAGTAGGGTACCCTTAGGTGGGTCTGCGAGTACATGCTGAGGCTGACCCAGGGAGAGGTCTCCATCTGGACCTGGATGCCTACCTGTTGCCCATGTGGGCACACACTGTTGACTGCAGCAGGGCACAGATGCACTTCACTACATTCATCTTTATTTTAAATTTGCTCTGTACATAAAGAATCCATCCTCTGGTTCTAATATTTCAAGTTCAACCACTAATGTGAGTTGCTGGGGAAGCTGAAATGTAAATAAACCTGACCACCTTGAAAACTCCCTGCATCCACCCTTGTCTTATTTTTCCATTGGTTCCCCTTCTCAGGGAAACCCAAAGCAGATGGATGTACAGGAATGTTTTTCTACACGGGGAATTTGCAAAGCTGGGAAGTGCTGGTGCTGGAGCTGAGCTTGTGGTGAGGATTGTGCCACTCTGCATCTACATTCAAGAAAGAGTGCTGGTTGAATAGTACATGCCTGGAGGACGAGGCAGCTCTTCTGCCTACCACTGAGCCGCAAGCCTGGTCCCTTCTCTCTAGATTCTAGGTGACAGTCATGCAGGGTCACCTGCTTACTCTCATTTCACCCATTACCTTGGAACATGCCCTGCCAGAACTGTGGGTGCTGATATTCTCTGGGAGAGCAGATGGTACCCACAGAGTGGCTGGCTGGTCCTCACCAAGTCAACAGGGCCAAGAGTAGCACAAGTGCACAGGCCTGGGGGAGCTAGGGAGAAGAGGCACTCATGCACGGTTTTCAGTTTTATGATTCACAGAGCTCACATCTCGAGAGAACTTTCATTTGCTTCAAAAGGCCTGACAACTTCATGGAGGCCTCCACTGAGGCCTCTGAGAGGTATCTATGACCCAAGTAGGACAGGGCTGCCCCCCAAGGCCAGACTCTTCTGAGGTTTGTTATTAATGATGTCTTATTTAAGACAAGAGGAGGAGAATTTGGTTCAGAGCCTTGTTTCCCATCACCCTGCAGCCTCTATAAGGAAATCAGGAAAACACGCCCCTCTAGGCAGAAGAGGCCCTGCCAGGGGACTGACAGTGTGTGTAAGCAGTAGACATCTAACCCCCAGGAAGGATGGAATACAGACTGGATGCCTGGCAGCTGGGACACTCAATTGATGCGCTCTCACACATAGCTTCAGAAAACCATCGATCACCATGGTCACTGTGCTACTTGCTCACTCCTACAGCAAGAGCTTTGCTTGCTTTTAATTGTTCACAGAGTTCACCTCCACTCTATAATCAGGGGGAAAATTAAAGTATTTTAGAGGCTTTGTTGATTTCACACCCTGCCTCTTCTCCATGATGACTTGCTTGTAATTCTTTTAAAATAAGTATAAGAATTGTTTCCAGAAGAACTCTTCCAAGAAGAGTTCTGCTTCTGCTCTCTGGCTGCCAGAAACATGCTGGCTTACTGGTGTCCCCCAGGTGGCAGTGAGGTGGCACCAGATGGAGGGGAGTCACACACACTGACCTGTCCCAGTAGCCCCAGTTTCATAGGACAATGGTGCTATATCAGGGCCTATACAGCATGCATGGGGTCTGAGAGGTGCACTGCCAATGCCTTCAAGGCCGCAAGTGCTCCCAAAGGGAGTGCCAGCCGTGCTGAGGAGGTGTGAGGGGAAGGGATGCTGCAGTTGCTCAGAGGGAAAGTATGAAGGAACATTTGGGGAGCTGTTGATGGTCATGGAGTGGACTGCCCCTGTGTCAATGCTCCCAGTGGTCCTATTGCTCAGGAACCACAGGCAGCCAGCCCTAGTTCATTTGAAGTTCTTCTAGCTGCAATCAAACTCAGGAGCTCATAAAAAGGAGGAGCTGGGGTAGTGCGACTGCAAGGCCAGGACAGGTGGGCATCCCTCCCATACTCAGCTCCTGGGGAACACCAGTAGAAGTTACTGTGCAGTGACCTTTGGGGTGGTCCTGGATGGGCAGCATCAGCCTCACATGGAAACTTGCTAGAGGTGCTTTCAGTAGCTTGGAGCAGCAGCTGACTGGAAGTGTGCCTGCTCTTCCTCCTCCCCAGCAATGTCACTCCTTGGCAGAGGGCACAGGAGGTGTCAGAGCAAGTTGAGCACTAGGTAATGGACATCAGATGGCTTTCCAACACCTTGGAAATTGAAAGAGTGGGCGCAACATCCTGGAGTCTGAGATGAGTGGTGTTCTCCATCCACTGACTGGGTAAGCTGTATTTCAAGGCCACTGAACCCTGAGGAGTCAGAGCCCATGGAAAGCTACAACACCCCGGTACCAGCGGCTCAACTGAGAGATTAGGTCTTTGACCACGTGGACTCATGTTTCAAGGCATGTGACTTGATCCACAGAAGTCAGACCACATATAATGGGGATTGTAGAACTGGGGTCTGTTGGAGTCATTCCATTACCCACTTTCACTTAGCCTTGTCAGGCACTCTTGGAGCTTCAAGGCCATTGCAGTTTGCAGACCCCCTCTAGCAGCAGCACACTTGTTATTATAGTTACTTTGGTGAAGGCAGCACTTCTCACATGCGATCTCAGACTTCTGAACATCAGACTTTTGAACTACTGGTACCGTATTGGGAAGAACAATGAAACAAAGAGACCGTACTCCTACCCCAAATACCTGTCACATGGGATCACTAACTTCTTGGAGCTAAGGAAAAGGCAAGGCAGGCTAATCCCTTACTTGACACAATGATGAAGTCAATGTGATCTTTTCTTCCCTAGGAATAAAACAAAAAAATGGGATTTCAAAGGCAATGTTGTCAAACTGGACCTTGCATAGTGCTATCATGTCTATGAGATCAGCTGCTGTGGTGCTTGTTAATCATATAAACAGCCAAGGATGCACGCATTTAACCAAATTTTGCCAATCACAGTTATGCTTCCCACTACCACCTGCTGCACAGGTGTCCCATGACCAGTGGGCATATTCTTGCCAAAATGCTTCCCCTTTGAAGGAACATAAATCTCTCTCACATTGCCCAAATGACGATCTCAACCCAATGGACTTGTCCATATGGCAGAGCTGGGGTGGGGAGAGAAATTTGTCCCTCCATAGTTGGGGGGAAGTTAAAAGGTCTTTCTACTATGGCAGGTTTATGCTTAGTGGAGGCCTCCAGAATATATTTACAACTCTTGCAGCATGATTTTCTTAGGCCATATTGCCATTTGGGTCTCAAGGACAACACAGCCTTCATGGGCATCTGACTGACCACATATGATCTGGGGGCTTTGAGCTGACTCTAAGAGTCCTCTGCTCCAGGAGGTCAAGGTGCTGGCTTTCATTAAACAAGGAAACAGTCTGCGTGCTGGTATAGCAGGTGTTCAGCTACACTGGGACCCACAATGACACACTGGGCCTAGTCCTTTAACTCACTATGTCCTGACTCTCATTTGAGGAATCACAGCTGACGCTTGAACAACACAAGTTTGAAATGCTTACATCCATTCATACATGGAGACTCCTCAATAAATATTAGTTGACTGGCCATATCCATGGGTTCTGCATCCACAGGTTCAACATCTAACTACAGATGTTGATGGGCTGAATCCTCAGATGCTGAGCTCACAGATACAGTTGGCTACATGTAAGATACTCAAGCATCTGTGGATTTGAGCAACTGTGGAGGAAGGGAGTCCTGAATGCATTCCCCTGTGTATACTGCAGTTTTCAGGGAATCAATAGTTACAGCTGGATGTCCAACTGTGAGGGAGCATCACATCCTTAATCCCCATGTTATTCAAGTCAACTGTACATTAGGGGCCAAGGGTCTCCTGAGGGTGCAGGTATACTTCCTCAGGGATAGGATCCTGCATCCAGTATCTCCAGAAGAGCAAGGCCATCACCATGCTCCTTTTCTCATGTGCCCCTTGGCTCCGGGTATACATGGAAGTCATTGGAACACACCCAGGACATATTGTCAGAAAATTGCATCCTCTGTCCAGTGTTGGGGAGAGCTTAAATCTCAGCCTGAAGACATATAGAAGGTAGTTTACTAATCTTTGTGTTCCTCAGGAAGATAGGTAGAGAAGGTGAGTCTTAACTTCCTTGTTTTCATTGGACGGTGAAAACGACCTGATCACAGCAGAGCAAGCAGGCCGGAGATGGCATGCCATTCCTATCTGCCACCAGGTAAAGGGAAACATTTAGATCTGGCTTAAAAAAGAAGATGAGCAAGTACCAGTATAGTGAAGCAACTTCTAGGAAACTTTCTGGAGCCTGGCGAGTTGTTTTTTTAAAAGGTATTTTTTTTTTTTTTTTTGCTGGGAATATATTCTTTTCAGCAAAAACATAGGTACTATGTGTCCCTCTGATCCACATTGGATCTCTGAAACTTTCTATATCACCATATTGCTGGTTAAATTCATATCTCCATCTTAAAATGTTCACTCAAGTGACTGAACTCATTGCCAAGTAAAACTATTATAGAAAGCAGTCTGCTTCCATACACTATTTAAATGGGGAATTTTAAAACATCATGTCTTTCAAGAGCTGTAATTTGACAAGAACTCATTTTCTAAACAAGATAAGCATCTCACTTCCTAGCAATGATTCAACTGGTTGTATCTGGGGATGATGTACAGCTGCTATGGCAGTCATGGTTGTTAAAATATCAAGCTACTTTTGAGAAGTTGGTAATTTACTCCTGGCCCACGTCCCCAAGACCACCCACTTCTCTGGTCACACTCTGCCCCCAGACACGCCACCCCCAACCTTCCAGTGGCCTCCAGGGCCCTTCAGTGCCAGGACTTTTTCCTGTCCTGAATGGCTAGTGCCTGTGTTGTCAAACATTTTGAATATTCTCTCTGCTTTTAATAATGCATGTTAAAATAATCCACTAAACTTTTCTTTTCTCCACTCTCCACTCAGCAATATTCTTGGATATAACTAAACTGACCAGCTAGTCACAAATTAGAAAACCTATAGAAACCAAACATTTATATATTAGCAGGGATCGGAGGGATATATGAATGTGTGGGATCCCAAAAATATAAATGGCAGCTCACACGTTGAGAGGCAGCTGGACTTTGGGAGCTGTGGTGCTCTGCTGTTCGGCTGCAGGGGCGGGTCCGGCTGAGGAGAAGGAGTCCTGGAAACAGACAAGAGGAGAGAGCGGTGAGTTGACAGAGGGTCCTGCCCTGAGGAAGAGGAGGCCAAGTATGGACAGAGCCCAGAGGCAACTGTCTCCCCTCTGCTACCTGATCCCTGGCCTCAAGAATTTTGGGGTTGTTGATAACAGCTCCTCAGCCATTGGAAATAACTGGCTGCCAGTGCTGCCTATCTGCAAAGCAGCTGTCAAGGGTTCTCTTAGAGCAGCTCAGAAAATCACTTCCCATGGACATAAAAATCTACAACTGTATATGAAACAATGTACAAAGACCTGAAAACTGGATAGAATTTCCACAGCAAAGGATAAAAGGACAGCATCAAGAGGCAGATATGTTTCACCAAGGAAGAAAACCCACCCAGGATGTGGCAACTTATGATCTGGAGGATCCCAAAGGTGTGGGGCTTTTCCCTAGGGAATGGAGGGAGGGTGGTGCCCTGATTTAGGCTCCCCAAACCCTTCAGTCCCAATCAGCAGAGACAAGTCCCTGACCCCAGCTTTAATCAGTGGGAAATGTGTCCAAAAGAATCAAGGATCTAGAGAACTGCAGAAACAGAGAACATGCCCTGGAGGGCCATGCAATCAGATTCATGTGACCTAGGATGCAGCACAGTAACACTGGTCTGAAAAGAACCTAAATCATGGGTGAAAAAAAACTCAGTTACCATTCTTTCAACATCTAGCTGAGAGGCAGGAAGCTTTAGGGACAGCCCCTGGGTTAAAAACACTGGTGTGCTCTCTATTGGCAGCCTCTCATAACCTTGATAATACCAGCCCTGGCAGGATAGTGGCCAATAGAACTCACCTAACCTGCTAGATCTTATTGGGTGAGAATTTCACCACTTCACCTACCCCTGCCACATAGCAGTGCCAATGCCATGCTTTAGACACACATCCCAGTTCCACACCTGAGAAGTGCATCCCGTTTCCACAGCACGCCAGCAGCCAACCTGCACTGGCCAAAAGATGCTGCTACATGTGGCTGAGACAGGCTGGCAGCTCCATCAACTTGCTTAGCAGCAGACATGGGCCAAGGAGGGGCAGGTGCCACAGCATTTCCTACTGTAGTCAATGCTTATAACAAGCCCAACCATCAGGACGTTGCTGAGCAGAGTCAATAGCCCCATGTATTAGATGGAAGCAGGAGGGCAGGTGCAGCACCAAGGCAGATAGTATGTTCAGTGAAGCACCCTTCCAACTCGCCATTTTAGATCAGGGACTGTTGAGTCCAGAGGAACACACCTAGACTACATGGAGCTGGGAAAGGGCTGCCCCAACAGCCAGAGGTGAGCTGAAAAGCCCCCACAACCAAGGCTCCCTCTGGCCACCAGTCAGAGCCCAGAGGGTGATCTAGTTGCCACCAGGGCAGAACACGGGAGCTAGGAAGCACACTCACACTCGCCATTTTTGATCAGGGACCTTTAGCGACTGGTGGAACCCAACTAGACTGCATGGATCTCGGAAAGGGCTGCCCCCACAGCCAGAGGTGAACTGAAAAGCTCCTACAAGCCAGGTACCATCTGGCCACCAGTTGGAGCCCAGAGGGGGATACAGAAATTTGGAGCCCAGCGAGTGATCCTGCCACTGCATGGCAGTTTGTGTGACCACAAGACCCACCTTGAAATTAAACAAATACAGAAGGAGGAGATATTCTGTGACAGTGACCAGTGACCACTAACATATTCATAGTACCACAGCCCTACTGGAATTCTGGCATAATAGTTTTTGACTTGATTGGACCACCAGTTTCTGACATCCCAGAAAGAGCCCACCAAAAAGATGCCAGCCAGTACCAGTGACACAGTGTCCCAATGCATAGGACAAATTAGAAAACAAGCAGCAGGGAGAAGAAAAACTACAAGCAACCAAGCAAGTCCTCAGGGAAAAGACACACTACAAAAAGAAAATCACCCACCAGTTTGCAACATCAGTGACTTTGAAAACTGTTGAGCCTTCCAGGAGTAGAATTTAAAATTGCCATGAGTAAAAAACTGAAAGATGTCAAAAATGATATGGGAAAAATAATCAATAATCAGAAGAATGAAATTAGTCCCTAAAGAGGGAAGAGAAAGAATGCAGGAGAGCAAAAGATTAAATGAGGAGCTAAAGAGCTCTGGGAAAAGCAGTGAAAGCAGAATAGATGAAATGGAAGAACAAATAAGTACTCTTGAAGACACAGAAATAAAAAAAAAACCAAAACAGAAAAGGAAAGAGAAGTATAAAGGAAAAAGAATGAAGAAAGACTTCGGGAACTATCTGACTCCATGAGGAAAGGAAATATAAGAGTAATAGGAATCCTGGAAGGGAGAAGAGAAACATAGGAACAGAGAAAATATTCAAAGAGATAACTGAAGAGAACTTCCCAAACATGAAGAAGGAGCTGAAAATAGACATTCAAGAAGCAAGAAGAACACCAAACTTCCATGATGAAAGGAAAAATACAGCAAGACACAAAATTATAATAAAGCTCACAGGAATCCAAGACAAGGGAAAAATAATGAAGCTGATAAGAGGGAAGAAACAGATAACATACAAAGGAAAACCAATCAAGCTGACATCAGACTTCTCTGAAGAAACACTATAGGCAAGGAGAGAGTGGAGGGACAGAGTCAACAGACTCCAAGACAACAAATGCCAACCAAGAATCCTCAATCCCACAAAGCTTTCCTTCCTCTATGAAGAAAGAATAAGGATCTTCCCAAACAAACAGAAACTCCAGAATTTCATTATGACTAAACCCCCACTCCAAAAATTACTACAAGGAGTTCTAAAACCAGAACCAACAGAGGGATGAATAAGAAAGAAATAAGACCCAAAAAAATTATTAAAAAAATAAGTAAATAAAACCAGAGAAAAGACAAACAAAATGGCAAATATGGATGCTAACATATCAATATTAACACTAAATGTAAATGGACTAAACTCTTCAATAAAAAGACCCAGAGTCGCAGGCTGGATTAAGAAACAAACCCCACCTTTTGCTGTATCCGGGAAACTCACTTAACTGCAAAACATAAAAATAGGCTGAAAGTAAAATGATGAAAAACAATCCTACAAACAAAAAAGTAGGCAGGAAAGCTATACTTACATCAGATAAACAGATTTCAAACTCAAAAAGGTTAAAAGAGACCCTGATGGTCACTAAATTATGATCAAGGGGACAATACTTTAGGAAGATATTACACACATTAACATATACTCACCTAAAGAAGGAGCACCAAAATATATCAGACAACTATTATCATCTCTGAAAACAGACATCAGAGAAAACACATACGTAGTAGGAGACTTCAACACACCACTATCAACAATGGGTAGATCAACAAGACAAAAAATAAGTAAGGACATTAAAGCTCTAAATGAGGATCTAGAGCTCAAGGACTTAACAGACATCTATAGAACACTAAACCCCAAAAAATCTGAGTACACATTTTTCTCAGTGCACATGGATAATTCTCCAGGATCAATCACATACTGGGACCCAAGACAAACATCAACAGATACACCAAGATTGAAATAATACCAACCATCTTCTCTGACCATGAAGGCATCAAACTACAAATAAACCATAAAAAGAAGGCAAGGAACTCTCCTACTTCATGGCGACTGAAACCCACACTAACAGAAGACCGCTGGACTAATGAGGAGATCAAAGAAGAAATTAAAAAATACTTTGAGTTGAATGACAAGGAGGACACCAATTTCCTAAATGTATGGAATGCAGCAAAAACAGTGATAAGAGGAAAATATATAGTGATACAGGCTCACATCAAGAAACAAGAAAGAACTCAAAGAAACAACCTAATCGCACAGCTCAAAGAACTAGAAAAAGAACAACAAAAAAAAAACCTTAAAACCAGTAGAAGAAAAGAAATAATAAAAATCAAAGGAGAAAATAATGAAATCGAACCTAAAAAAACAATCCAAAAGATCAATGAAACCAAAAGTTGGTTCTTCGAAAAACTAAACTAGACAAACCCCTAGCCAGGCTCACAAAGGAAAAACGGGAGAAAGCACAAATAAATAGGATCACAAATGAAAGAGGAGAAATCACAACGGACATAGCAGAAATCAAAAGAATAATCAGAAACTACTATGAACAGTTATATGGAAACAAGTTCAACAATCTAGAAGAGATGGACAAATTCCTACAACTCTACACTCGCCCAAAGCTAGATAAAGAAGAAATAGAACACCTAAACAGACCAATTACAAGCAGTGAAATTGTAATGGTAATCAAAACCCTCCCCAAAAACAAAAGCCCAGGACCAGATGGATTTACAAATGAATTCTACCAAACATTCCAAAAAAAACTACTGCCTATCCTTCACAAGCTCTTTCAAAAAATTGAGAAGGAAGGGATAATACCAAACACGCTCATGAAGCCAACATTACTCTAATACCAAAACCGAACAAGGGCAACACAAAAAAAGAAAACTACAGGCCAATCTCCCTAATGAACACTGATGCAAAAATCCTCAATAAAATTTTAGCTAACAGGGGCATCCCCTGGTGGCACAGGCATTTGAGTGCAGCACTGTGAAGCTGGCCAAAGCCTCTGCAGCGCTGGTTTGATCCCAGCTGGCCAGCAAGGGCCCCACATGGCATGGCAGACCTCTCCTGTCTCGCCAGCTGGTACCCTCAGCAGTGTATTTCGTTAGTCTGCCTGTTCTGTTCCCCACTCTGTCTCTGGTGAATTCTCACCCGCTCCTAAGCATGTGGCCTGTACCCTGGTTCTTGTATAAGTAAATAAATAAATCTGTAAAAAAAAAAAAAATTACTGAAAAAAAATTAGCTAACAGAATCCAACAAGGTATCCACAAGATAATTCTCCACAACCAAGTAGGATTTATTCCAGGGACACAAGGATGGTTCAACATCTGAAAATCAATCCATGTAATTCAACACATCAACAAAAAGAAATATAAAAAACATATGATAATATCAATAGATGCTGAGAAAGCTCTCGACAAAGTACAACA